ATGCTTAAGGCTCTTTCTCTACACATCCACACACACACGCAGAAAATCTTCAATTCAAATGTTTTTCTTAGTTATTTCTATTTTATTTTATCAACACCTTTCCAAGCCCTCCCAAAGACCAGGACCCCTTTCTTACTTCCCCAAGACCATTTTAGTGCTACCATCTTTTTGAATTCCCTAGAATTGAAAACTGGTCTTTATTATTAGTTTTTAATTCTCCTTCAAACACATATAGTCGTTAGTCACAAACTGTAAAGTTTTTCTTCACTATTTATCTTGGATGCTCCATTTATATAATTGCATTTGAGACCAAATCATCCTTGTATTATATTGATTACCAGTCAACAGCTGAACCTTTGGTTTCATTCTCCCTTCATGGCATCTCATTCTACAAATAGACACATATATGATTTTTGTCAAGCACAATGTGTCAGGCAGGCCCCTCTCAAGATTAAGAATTCCTAATTTTTTTCTATTTTGTAGTTGGTCAAATATATACTTCTCAATCTAGCTCTCTAGAAATTCTTTTAAAACTCTCATTGGTTTTATAAATAACCATTCAAGGCAAACTGCTTATTGCTGATCAAATAAAACTTTATAATCCAGTTTTCAACCCCTGAATTCTTGTATTTCCATTTCAGTAGAAATGTTTATCCCAAAACCAGGCTTGCTTCAATCTCTTCATAAATCTATGTCCAGCATTAGGTCAATATTTAGATCTTTAAGAGATTTCTCCTAATTAAACTTTTCCAGCCAGTGATTTTTTTATTCAAAACTAGTTCAAGAGAAATCAAACTACATTTGTCATGACTTCCATAAACCGAACGATAAGGTATATGAAATGAAGGAGAGGCACCACCTTCAAAGAGTCCTCATTCTTTAAGAACGTATAGTGCAACAAGGACAACGACAGATGAAAGAAGAGATAAAGGGAAATGCAGGACGGACATCTCATCCAGACTGAAGAGCTTGGAAGAAGCTTCTTGAATAGATGAGCGAGAAAAACTGGGATGCATTAGTAAGTAAAGGTCATATGGATAGGGCAAATGTGATGGAAAAAGAGTTATGTGCGATGTTTTTGGTAAGATCCATGCATAATCTGCACTAATTGCATTATTTGTGGTAGTTTATGTTAGATTTAGCTTTTTTGAAACAATTTATAATAAACCAGATTCCAATTTGAAAGGGTTTGGTCCCAACACAGAAAATAACACAACAGATATGAGCAATCCCATAAACTTTCAAATCCGTTCTCCTGATTAAATGGTATTTGACTATTACACTTAAAAAGGTGGCTTTCAAACTCAAAGTGTTTTCCATATGGAAAATGTTTAAATTCCATTCTAATTGTGAAGTTGGTTGTATTTTATTATATCAAATATTGAGCAATAGCAAATTATTTTTGTTCTAAGAGTTTTTATTTTAGGAATTGTCTTTTGTAAACTATTTCTGTCATCAATATACTATTTTGTTTTTAGAAATATTTTCCACAAAGTTTAATATTTTGAGTCAATTTTCTTATGCTGTAAAACATACTTAACAAGATTAGTTATCTGTGTTTCACACATCATTTTAATATATAGTATATAGATTTAGAAATAGATGTCCCTCCATCAGATGCAGAAAGTTTTAATGTATGCTATTGCCTTGCTTAGTTAAAAAAATAAACCATTCTTGGGCCAGCCCCAGTGGCCTAATGGTTAAGTTCAGCACGCTGTGCTTTGGCAACTCAGATTCGGTTCCTGGGCGTGGACCTACACCACTCGCTTGTCAGTGGACGTGCTGTGATGGTGGCTTCCATACAAAAAAAGAGGAAGATTGGCAGAGCATGTTAGCTCAGGGCGAAACTGTCTCAGCAAAAAATAAGGGATAAATTATTCTCAAACTCTTATGTAATTCCCTTCAATTGTCCTAGAGGGAAAGATGTGTGAAAGACTTTTGAAAACCAAACACAATCAATTAATATTACAATTGTTATCAATATTGTGTTTCTTACATTAGACTATGCATTCTCAAAACTCCTGTGGTTGAAAAATCTATGCTATTGGGAGATATCAAAAAACCATATTTCTCTTTTTTGGCTCACTTTTTGTGAGCAATAATCTATAGTTCAAGATCGGATCTATGTTGAATTGGAAAGAGATCCCTAAAATACTGAACTGGAGATAAGTTGATAATAGATGTCAAATTTCCTAAAAAGGAATAGTTGAAATGAGGTAAAAGAGGTAGATAACACCGATAATGTTGACGAGGCCTATGCAGCATCTGATGAGGCCAGGATGGAACCTCCTGTTCTTATTTCCAACAAAACTCCTTGAAAAGCCCAGTGACTTTCTCTGGAACAAGGAAAATTCCTGAACAGCACTAACTTCAGTGCTGCTTTTCAAACACTGTGAATGAACTGTCATTTTAATATCCTATTTTCTTTTCTGAAGAGTATTTCTTGAAATAAATTTTTCTCTCCCTAGTGTATTTTCTTCTAAAAGTTAGATTCCTGCTACTACATGATGGAATAGACTATGGTTTTTCAACGTGTAGCTTGCGGCCAAGTTTTAGTTGGGCTGCAGAGGTTAAAATTCAGGTACCTTCGGGCCAGCCCCGTGGCTTAGCGGTTAAGTGCGCGTGCTCCGCTGCTGGTGGTCAGGGTTCGGATCCCGGGCGCTCCTGATGCACCGCTTCTCCGGCCATGCTGAGGCCGTGTCCCACATACAGCAACTAGAAGCGATGTGCAACTATGACATACAACTATCTACCGGCGCTTTGGGGAAGAAAAAAATGAGGAGGATTGGCAATAGATGTTAGCTCAGAGCCGGTCTTCCTCAGCAAAAAGAGGAGAAAAAAAAAAAATTTCAGGTACCTTCATATCAGCTTGGTAGTGTCTAGTGTCGAGGTATCACTCAGGTAAACCTCTTTCTGTCTAAGTAGAATATGTAAGTCTTCTGGGTTTGAATGAGTTTGGGGGAAACAGTCAGGGAAAGGATTAATTTCAATAGGAAGTTATGTATTCTGGTATTTCTTTGGTCTCTTTATCAGCTTCATTTGGTCTTCATGCTCTCATAGTGTCCTTTTATTATTTAATACTGTTAAGAACAAAAATGTTAGCACTACTATTAATAATAATATCCTAGATTGATTTTGCACTTATGTACCAGGTATAGTACTAAATGTTTCATAAGCATTATCTCATTTAATCTTTACGATATACGTGTACACATATGACAAAGGAAAGATGGAAAATTTGGAAATTTGACTTTGACTTTTATCAGCATCCTCTTCTTTTTCTGTGTGGAGGAGAGGTTAAAGCTTTACATGCTCTGATTGACCTTCGCATTCCCCACAGAACTTGTCATGGTGCCTCGTGAGGAGTAATTCCTTAGGAAGTTTTTTCGGAAAAATGAGAACACGTTTAAAATAGGTTTAAAATGGCTACTCTAGATATTTTGCCCTTCAGACTTTGGCTGCTTTGTTACTCTTTTCTTTCAAGCTGCCCTTATTCACAGCTATTCTGCTGTTACAGTGCTTTTACATATTTTCCGTGACACGGGGTCTGCCATAGTAACTGCACTAATGAGTCACATTTTCCCTGTGGCACAGACATGGCTGCTGTTGTGTACAGATGAATAAAAGAATCACAAAGTAGACCAAAATGTTCTACTCCTATCGAAATGATCAGATTATCATGAAAATGTGTTAGAAAAGTCTCCTGGTTATAAAGGTTATAAAGGAGTTGCAGTTTTTAACATTTTATTTCCACATTTAAATACCAAGGGAAATTTTTAACAGATTTTCTCATGTGGTTGCTACCTTTAACAGTGTGCGTTTTAGGCCTATTCATTTGCATGGCTTCAGAATATCATGTAATTATTACATCTGTTATTCCACGTTTTAAATATTAGAAATTTTTCAATTAATCAGCTGAAGCAGGAATTATCCACTGTGTCAAGCTCTTAAAATGTATACATTGAAAAGCATGTTTTTAAAGTATTACTTCAACTTGAATAAAATACTTGCTAGATAATAAAAAATCTGAACTAATGTTTCCTTAACTTAAAATAGGCACACTTAGGTTTACGTTTCCTATTTTTCATAGATACTTACTGCTTTGCATTCTTTTCCTGCAGATGGTGTACTTATTTTGCTTATTACTTGAAAGCGTGTCTCTGTATTTAACAGAATATTTATTCCCTTGAATATTCTCTGGAATATGCTGCAAGTAATATGTGATTTGAATGGATGCTTCCCAGAAGCTTTACTGACTATGCAGTCTCAGGGAAATCTTCCACTTTATTTTTAAAAGATATTCTATCTCTCTTTCTCTTTTTTGTCCAAAATATTTTACCAAATCCCTGATTTTGGCTCCAGAGTGAAATAGGCGTGGTTAAATTCTGGCTCTGTCACTTTCCACCTCTGGGGACTGAACAAATTGTTTATACTTTCCAAGACTTAGTTTCTAAAACGTAATTTTTAGGATTTTTGTGAAGTTGCCTGGATTTATATCAGCTCAATAAAAGTTAGCAATTATTTAATTATTTTCAGTAATGTTAATAGAAGTGTTTTCAGTACTAGTGAGTCATTATTTAATGTTAGATTTTTTAAAACAGAAAATTGTTTTAGAATAATCTGATAGTTTAACTGGCTCATGTGTTTGATAGACCCAAAAAACAAATGACAATGACTAAACTTGCTTTCTATACAGGTGTAACATTTTAAAGCAAGTTAGGTTAAAACTGTAAAGATGATATACCTACATATTTCAACAGCATATAGAGTTTTTCTAAAACATGAATTTCAAGTACATGTTATATTTCCAGTGTAAGTTATATTATAATCTGTGGGCAAATTTCATAAAGTAATTTGAAGAACAATATGTAAGCTATGTAGAAAGTATAATTGATTCCATGTTACTGGAAAGATGGGTTTGTAGCCTTGTGTTCTCAGTCATCTTAGTTCCCTTGTTATTTCTACTCAAGTAACTAAAATGATATGTTTTTGCTTTTCAGTCACCCAAGACTGCTTGCAACTTATTGCAGACAGTGACACGCCTACTATACGAAAAGGTAAAAATAGTCCCAGTAATTTTTCCACTTAGAATTCAGTCCAGTTCAATCACTTGTCAGTTTCAAATCAAAAGGCTGTATTCAAGCTTCATATCAAATCAACTCTCTGCCTCAAAACTTCTTATAATCAGATGTAAAATAGTAAAATTGAATTTATTCAAAATGATTAGGCAATAAATATTTAGGCTAATGTAATAACCTAACAAACAGAATTGCCTTAGAGACACTAATACTTAGAAATTTTAAATATTTGACATAGATAAAACAAAATCAACACTAAACCAAATTCAATATTTTATTATTTAGAAATCATTTTCACTTCCAAAATGACTCAAGATCATCTTCACAAATATTAATTCTCCTATTATATTAGTTTGTAGAAATCACAGTAGGACGAAGATAAAACTGAACATATCCTAAACATTTTATATTAATTTATTAATATTTATAACATTTTATATTAATTAATTTATTGATATTTATTAATATTATATTAAATAAATATAACATTTGTATGATAAATCCCCAGTATGAAATTATTGCTTTATATTTTACATATATTGGTTAAGAACATGCAATGTTCTAGTACTGTGTGGGGACTGGGGCTTAGCAGGGGGATAAAATATGCATGGTTCCTCACTTTCATGGAATTTACCTTCTGATGAGGGGAAAACAGAAAAAAACCTCCAAACATGTAAAATGTAGAATGATAAAATTAAATGCTATGGAGAAAAATAAAGCAAGCAGGGGCAAGGGAATGTTTGGGTTTTGAACCACAAAAGGCAGTTCAGAAGTGTCAAGAGGTTAAGCTGGGGGCAGGGATGGGGAAACAAGAAGGAGTCCAGATAATGAATTTGGATTGGTGTTTGTAATGATTTCTGGGATTGCTATCTCGCATCTGTATTTTTCTATGTGACTTTAATTATCCTAAATGTAACACAAATACTAAACTGTTTGAAATTCTATTGTTATTTATTGCTCTGCAATTTTCCAGTCGTATGTTTGCAACTTTTAATAGGCAGCAAACTGTTTCCTAAGAATTAAAATAAAGCCAGAAGAAGACCCTAAGGACCAAAGATAAAATTGAAAAAATTTAACTTGGAAAAGGTTTGTTTTACACATTTGGCCAAAAACGAAAATGCTCCAAATCACACAAAAAGATGCAGCTGCTACTCCACTGTGAATGTGAATTGCACAGAGTGTTATGATCTTTCTGGTGTGGTGGCTGCTCCCCATCGATCCAGGGATGCTTATCTGGGTGCTTCGCTCTTTGGACCCATGGGTTGGCCTTGTGATGCCAGTAAGCCTTGAACAGTATGTAAATGCTAGTTTGCATGGATATTTTAGCAGTACTGCTTTACTGCATCCCATAAATTTTCGTATGTTGTGTTTCCATTTTCATTGGTCTCAAGATATTTTTTGATTTACCTTTTGACTTCTTTTTTTACCCATTGGTTGTTCAGAAGTGTGCTGTTTAATTTCCATGTATTCGTGAATTTTCCACTTATTCTCCTGTTATTGATTTCTAGTTTCATACCATTGTGATTGGAAAAGATCCTTGATATGATTTCAGTCTTAGATTTGTTAAGACTTATTTTGTGCCGTAACATTTCATCTATCCTGGAGAATTATCCTTGTGCACTTAAGAATGTATATTCTGCTACTATAGGATGGCATATTCTGTATATATCTGTTAAGTCCATTTGGTCTATAGTGTTCAAGTTTTCTGTTTCCTTATTGATTTTCTTTTGGATGATTTATCCATTGTTGAAAGTGAGGTATTGAATTCTCCTACTGTTATTGTATTGCTGTCTATTTTTCCCTTCAGATCTGTTAGTATTCGCTTTATATATTTAGGGGCTCCAATGTTGAGTGCATATGTATTTATATTTGCTGTATCCTCTCCATGAATTGATCCATTTATTATCATATAATTACCTTCTTTGTCCCTTGTGACAGTTTTTGACTTAAAGTCTATTTTGTCTGATATAAGAATAGCCACTTCTCTCTTTTGTTTACCACTTACATGGCATATTGTTTTCCAACCCTTTAATGTCAGCCTATGTGTGTCCTTAAAGCTAAAATGAGTCTCTTGTAGACAAGATATGGTTGGATTTTGTTTCTTTTTAATCCATTCAGCCACTCTATGCCTTTTGATTGTGGAATTTAATCCATTTACATTTAAAGTAATTATTGATAGTGAGGACTTATTATTTCCCTTTTGTTAATTATTTTCTGGCTGATTTGTGGTTCCTTTGTTTCTTCCTTCCTCTCTTGAATATCTTTCTTTGTGGCTTGGTTATTTTTTGCAGTGATGTGCTTTGATTCCTTTCTTTTTAAATATTGTGTATCTACTACAGGTTTTCTATTTGGTTTGCCATGAGACTTACATAAAACAACTCAGTTATAATAGTCTATTTTAAGCTGATAACGACTTAACTTTGATCTCATACAAAAATGACATTTTTACTTCTCTCGCCATCACACTTTGTTATTGGTGTGACAATTTACATCTTTTTATATTGCATATCTATTAATAAATTATTTTAGTTATAATTCTCTTATCTTTTAACTTTTATGCTAGAGTTGAAAGTGATTTACAACTCATTGGAGCTAGTCCTTTCAGATTGTTTACTGGAGATTTGTTTTCTTCCTTCATGTTCCCTATAAATTTGCCTTGTTGTCTGTGTGTTTGAAAAAGCAGCTACCCCTCCTCGTTCTCATAGACTGATTTTGACCGGGAGACACTTTCCCTGGCCAGCAGTGCTTGATATTAGCCACTCTAAGGCCAGGAGCGAGGCCCCCTTTGCTTCCTTCCTTCCCTCCTGGAGGAAAAGCATCAGTTCTCTGCTTTTCGACAATCATGCAAAAAAAAAAAATGTTGGCTATAAGGGGATGCTGTTTTCTTTTCTTTGTTTTTAACTGTATCATGGGACTAAGCTCCTATGGTGGTTCAGCACTCAAAATGAGGCGAGATAGAAACCAGCACCACAGAAAGCACTCTGAGAGGCCATGAGGCCAGACACACACTCCAATCTCACCATCCCTCCATGGGAGAATCATGGGCTGAGGCAATTTTCTTGAGGCTGAACTAAGCCTGATGTAAGGGACTGATGTAAGTAAATTGAAATCTCTCTTCTTACACATATAATGTGACTTCTCAGTTTGTTCTCCTGTAGGGTAATTCTGCTTCTTAGCTGGATTCTGACTTTCTCTTCAACTCCTTAATTATAATGTGTCTTGACATGAATCTCCTTGAGTTTATTCTTCTTGGAATTTTTTTAGCTTTTTGGATGTGTAGATTCATTCTTTTTTCAAAGTTGGGAAGAGTTTTGCCATTATTTCTTGAAATATTCTTTCTGTCCCTTTCTCTTCTCCTTCTGGGACTCTGATAATGCATGTGGTGTCCCACGGGTCCCTTCTGCTCTGTTCACTTCCTTTCCTTCTTTTTTCTTTCTGGTCCCCAGACTGGATAATTTCAATTGTCTTATCTTCAAGTTTTCTGGTTGTGTCTTCTGCCTGCTCAACCTGCTGTGTAACTTCTCCAGTGAATTGTTTATTTCAGCTCTTACTTTTCACCTCCACAACTTCTATTTGGTTTCTTTTCTTTTCCTTTTTTCAAAAATAATTTCTATCTCTTTACTGATAGTGTCTATCTGTTCATATATAATTCGTCTGGTTTTCTTAAGTTCTTTGTGCATTGTTTCCTTTAACTCTTTAAGCATATTTAAAAGATATAAAGTCTTTGTCTAGTAATTCCAGTATCTGGGCTTCCTCAGGAATGGTTTCTGCCAATTTCTATTTTTTTTTCATGTGAATGGTCTATAGTTTTCTGTTTGTTTGTAGGCCTTGTGTTTTTCTTTGAAAATTGGACAATTTTAATATTACAATATAGTAACTCTGGAAATAATATTTTCTCCCATCCCCAGCATTTGCTATTGTTGATTGGTGAGGGCTGCAGTTGTCTATTTGTTTATTAAATTTTCCAAAATATTTTTGCACTGTGTTCCTTGTTCTGTGTAGTCACTGAAGTCTTTTTTCTGTTATCTCTACAGTCAGCCTTATAGAGATTTTTTTTATCTCCAATCCTAATCCTGACAGATTTACTTAAATACCAGGAACCAAAAAAAACATAAAAATACTACCTTTTCCTAGCAGATTGGCTCTGAGCTGGAGTACTCCTTCATCATTTAGCCAGGCTTCCAGCAACTCTGCCTTAGATTTCCCCTCCTGCTTGTGCAGAGACCAAAGATCAACTAGAGGTGTTAGTTTTAGGGTTCTTTGGCTCTTTTCTGAGCATCTGACTCTAGACGTGTATGTTGCATTACAGATTCCTTGGTGTATTCCCCATTCCTTCAAATATCTTCCCCCTATGCTGCCTCCTTCTCAGGTTTTTTGTCATTCTGTTACCTGCTCCATCTGCTATCCCTTGTTCCAGGTGGCTACAGTTATGTCTTTAAAGCTTTTGATTGACATCAGCCTGAGGAGCTGCTGCCATCTGAAGGGAACCTCCAAACAGATCAAAATGCATAGCCACAATGTTTTGAGAACAAAGTGAGTATTGTTTTCCCTGGCCCCAGAAAGGTGCCACCTGGAACTCAGGCCACCATCTCCATGGCTGCTGCCAACCTGAAGAATGGAGAATATAAGTGAATAAGCAAAAATACTATAATGATTTCTTCCTGAAATTTAACAGCCTTTTTTTTTCCTTAAGCATTCCTTTGGTTTCAATAGGTTTTTTATTAGGTTTCATACATCCAAAAAGGTAGATTCTATAAGTTTTTGCCAGCTTAATTGTTGCTTTAGTGAAGGGACTTATTCTTTGAGCTTTCTACTTTGCCATTTTCCACTCTGACGTCTATAATTATATCAATGGACAATATCTATTGATTGTCTAGTCTGGTCTATGATAAAATTAGTATGATTCGTCTTTATTTTCTCTATCCTTCCTGTCCTCCACCATATATTTTTTGGATACTAATGTTATATTTCTTGATGTT